CATAAGAACATAAGAACATAAGAAATTTACAAACGAGAGGAGGCCATTCGGCCCATCAAGCTCGTTTGGGGAGAACTTAACTAATAGCTCAGAGTAGTAATCTAGGTAATCTACCATTTTCACTTGAATTATAGCTTCCATTATTTTTCCAGTAATGCTAGTTAAACTGATTGGCCTATAGTTTGCTGGATTACTTCTATCCCCTTTTTTGAATATGGGTGTTATATTAGCATGCTTCCAATCTGATGGTACCACACCCGCAGATAACGATTTCTGGAATATTAAAGTCAAAGGTTGGCTAATAATATCCCTCATCTCTTTCAAGACTAAAGGTAAGATGCCATCAGGCCCCTGCGATATATATTGATATCGAATTATTGTCCAGCCCTACTCATTCGTTAGCCAATCACATCACTCTAACCTAGTTGGGGGTGGAGTCTGGTATGGTTTGGTCTGCCTCCAGAGCAGAGCCAGTCTGACATGATTTCAGCACAGCAGTTTGTGCATACACGTGCAGTCTAACTCAGGAGTTTATGCCAAAATTTCCTGCAAGGGATGTCTTCATTATAATGTTATTTTTGAGAAAGTTACGTAAGCGCTTAGGTTCATACAAAAATTTTATTGCTTCAAAGGCATTTGAAATAGCAGTTACTTTAAAATTGTATACATTATAAGCCTAAGGAACTCTGAGGCATGCAGTTTTTGAACTGTTCAAGTGGTGATTCCCATTTAGTTACATCCGTTACTAAAAGGAAAAAACACATAGGCGGTTAAATTTTTGATAAATAGTAATGTCAAGCACTTAAGCACTTATGTAAGTGGCTCTGGCTAAGGGCGTCTGCCAAATGCTGTAAATGTAAAATGTAAATATTGGAAACCACGGTGGGTACTTGAGACTTTACTCTGACTCTAATTGTGTGACTTGTGAACATCTCTAGTTTCTCCTCCTAACGCTCACGTTCCTCCTTCCCTCTGTCCACAGGGTCATGTGAAGGTCGCACAGTACCTGGTGAAGGAAGTCAGTCAGTTTCCCTCTGACATTGAGTGCATGAGATACATTGCCACAATTGTTGATAAGGTAGGAAGCTCGAATAGCATCTGCTTTGTCTCTAATCTGCACTGTTTCCCCAATTCACTCACATCAGGGGATCCATACCATGCCCGAGCACATTTGACCCCCCCAAAGTTGCTAATCTTCCTTTTATTAGTAAAATTTTAGAAAATGTTGTTCACCTTCAGACTATTGAATTCTTGCAAAAAATATCATCCTTGAAATTTTTCATTTTATGCTGATGGTATCCAGTTGTATGTGTCGGTTGAACCTTGTGCTCTGGGTATTACTAGCAATATGGAACAATGTTTAATTTCCATAAATGAATAGATGTGCAATAATTTCCTAAAATTTAATGGAGATAAAACAGAAATGATCGCCTTGGGGGGGCCCAAGGACCAAGGGATAGCTTGCAATCCAGGCTCGACAATGTGATACCACAGGCAAAACCTGAGATTAGAAATCTGGGTGTAATTCTTGACTGTGAACTAAGTTTTTAAAAGGCGCATTCAGTATATTACAGTGCAATATGAGGAAAGATGGGGGGGGGGGGGGGGATCGTGTTAAGGCATGGTATAGGGCAACCAGGCCAAATGTGAGTGCAGTGTTAGTCTTGGATAACATCTCCATATTCCTACAGTGATTAAGAAATCCCTAAAAGTATCTCAATTGAGATGAAACCCTTGTATTCCTGTTGAAGACTTCTGTATGAATTCACAACCAACCCATGACTGTTCCTTCTGTCACACAGGATCTGTTGAAGAAGTGTCACCAGTGCATGGATACCATCGTCAAGGCCAAAGACCACCAGGCAGCCGAGGCCAACAAGAACGCCAGCATCCTGCTCAAGGAGCTAGATATGGAGAAGGTGAATCACCAGTGGTTTCTGTGTTAAAAGCAAGGCTTCTGACTGTATTTTAGAATTTTGTGATGGTTTCTTCAAATTGCTGGATGAATATTTAAAAATCATGCAGTTCTTTAATTTTTTTTTTTTTACCAAAACAGTTTATTCAAAGACACCATCATTAGATGAACTTCTGAAAATCACATTCAGCTATAGCAGGAACATTCATTATTATATTTTGTAAGTAGGGTTGTTGTGATATAATTGCCATCACATGGCTTACGCACAATAATGACTAGGGCTTTATATGATGGGCATTGGACATTTGTCCAAGCTCCAGCTTTTTGGTACTATACAAACATTTACTAACGCCCACTATTTGGTAAGCAGATTAGTAGTACGCCTAAAATATTAATGAGAGGCATATTGTGATGCCCAAAAGTTAGTAATTTGTATAAATTTGGAGTATCCTTATGTTTAATAAACGTGTTGGACTTTTAACTGCAAAATGTACTGCCACACCAGCACCTTTTTTACCTTGTTTATCCATATAATCTCCTCTGTCAAAAGATGTGGCTGCTGATCTGTCCCTTGCTTCAGCGCCACTTCATTGCTTATAAATCGCTTCCATGATTTACCAAAACAGTAGTATGTGATGTGCCTTGCTAACAGACTTTAATAATTTGACACACTTTAATGCGTCACAATACGCCTCTCATTATTTTAAGTGTACTACTAATCTGCTTACCAAATTGTGGGCATTAGTAAACACTAACTGAGGCGATAACGGGTATCACAAGCAGGCACGAGTGCAAGCATATGAACGGTCTCCATGGAAATGGGACAATTTGACTGCTGTAAACGTCTTTCAATGTTGTAAATCCCTTAATGTTTTTCCTTAACTAAGGAAACCTTTTAAGGGGTTCTGTGCAACACCCTTAAATAAATCCCTTAGCTAAGGAGAAATTAAACTTTAAATGTCATACTTAAGGGGAAAACTTAAGGTGTTTTGTGCAACCGGCCCCTGGTTATTACTGCTCATACGCTGTATGATCACAGTCCCTATTATCTGTTAATTCTTTGAAAATGACTGAGGGGGTGACCCAGTTTTTGCATGCTGTCCTCTCAGTCCCGAGAAGAGAGCAAGAAGCAGGCTCTTGCAGCGAAGAGGGAGAAACGGAAGGAGAAACGCAAGAAGAAGAAGGAGGAGCAGAAGAGGAAGCTGGAGGTGGAGGAGATTAAGGTCAAGGAGGAGTTCTTGGACATGCAGGACCATGAGAAGGACTCTACTGAAGGTAAGGGACAACCCCGTGAGCTTCTGAACCTCTGAAGAAAGGGAACAGCATAGTGTCTTCCCAGCTACTAATTTGGGAATCATTTCTTCTATGGTCTTGCAGAGCCAGAGATTCCCATAGAACCCCCAAGCGCCACCACTACCACCACCATCGGCATTCCCGCAACCTCAGCCACCTTCACCTCAGCCTTTGGCAAGAAACGCGCCAACGCAGTCACCACGCCCAGCGTCAACCGTAAGAGCAAGAAAAACAAGACCAAGGACACACCCAGTGAGCCCATTATACTCCAGGACCCCCAAGTGGCGCTAGCACAGCAGAAGGCCGATCGGAACAAGATTCACGGGGAGCCACGGGGTGGTGGGGTGCCCGGCGGCAACAGTGACTCCGACAACCTGGACAGCACCGATTGCAACAGTGAGAGCAGTAGTGGCAGCAAGTGTCACGAGCTTGGCTATCTGCCTGACCTGCCATCCTCATCCTCCTCGTCATCATCGTCCTCCTCAGTCCCCTCAGGCCCAGCTTTCACTCCCTCTGCCCCTGAGAGAAGGCAAGGCCCCCCACTGCACAGCCTTCGTGAAGAGAAGGTCACAGTGTCCGTTACCAAACCCCAACACAAGTAAGTCCAGGATGTGCTCTGTGTTAAACTGCTAAGCCACATATGTCAAATTCGAGGCCAGTGGGCCACATCTAGTCCATAACACATTTTTTTTTTATGGCCTGCGAAATGATTTTGATATTTGATTTTGATAAGTGTCCTGTGAGTAACAGTGTAGCAGTATGCAAATTTCACACATCGGAACAAATCGAGATTTTGCGTTCATGGTTCACTACAGTTTCAATATAGCAGTGAAAACTTGCATTTTGTAATTATTTGACAAAAAATATGTAAAATAAATGATAATTAAAGAATAAGACTGTCTTAACACAATCATAATGAACTATCCATCCATCAATTTTTCTGAAACCGCTTAATCCCAAATTGTCACGGGGGCGGGACGGGACCAGAGCCTATCCTGGGAACAAAGGGCACAAGCGGGACGCAACCCTGGGCAGTTGCCAACACACCACAGGGCGCATATACTCACACTCACACAACTACAGGGCCAATTTAGATTCACCAATCAACCTATCCCGTATGCTTTTGGACCGTAGGAGGAACTGGAGCCCCCGGCGAAAACCCACGCGAACATAAGAACATAAGAAATTTACAAACGAGAGGAGGCCATTCGGCCCATCAAGCTCGTTTGGGGAGAACTTAGCTAATA